CTCCTAGTGCCCATTCAAATGTTTAATTGCCCATTTTCTTGGTATAGTGTCAACTTATGTCCTTTTGTTGCCCCTTACGGGAAACAAGAGTAGTGAATGAGCACTTCCCTTGGGAAATCAGTCATCTACTTGATAAGACTGTCACCTCTTAGCCCTTCAGGTTAAATAACTTTTACTCATAGGCTTGGTAATCTGTTCTGTAAATCGCTTTTTGGTTCCAATGTTCTGGGGTTTTTCCATACATCTCTTAAATGTGGAAGCAAAAATTAGATACAGTTATCTCTTAATGGGCAAAAAAATATCAGAAGAGTAATTTCCTTTCATGTCTTGAGAATGATTTTCTAGTTTCATTCTAGCTGTTAATTCAACAGCATCTTTGGTGGCTTCATATTCATTTTGTGGCACATCATGGTCCAAGGGTTGTTATTGCTACATTTAACTCTGGCTCAATTCTTTGTCACCTTTGTTGCTTTGAAATGTTATTATGAGTAAAGATGGTAGATTGAACACATGCATCTGCTTTAACTCTTTCCTGAATCACTGCAAAACAATGGTAAGTTACTTTTAAAGGCAGAAAACCACAAGAATGGGAGAATGTGAAAGGAGACGACATTAACCTTTGGAAGCCGAGAACCAGATGGCAGAGTGTGGATGACTTAGCAGACTCAAGAAAACCAAATCTTTACACCAGGAGCTGAGAACCAGCCTGTGTTAAATCGCAAAATCCTTAAAACGTTCAGGAGTTACATCTGGAAGTGGGGCTAAAGGAGGGGAACTAAGATAAGGGGGACTGGATGAAAGCCTGTTTAAGAAATGATCTTAGAAATCCTTCTCTGCTCTGTGCAGCTGCCTAGTTGCCCCTTCCTAATCCCGGCAGAAGGCGGCAGGGTTATCATCTGAAAAGTGTAAATAGACCATCTCTGCACTGGGGGCCCCAGACTGTGTTGAGACTCAGGCTTGCCTACTGAAAACAAGGAGAAGAAATGGGCATTGCCTTGTTGGAGTTGAGGCCACCACTGCCCTATCCGCCTACCTGGCTCCCCAAATGCTGGCAACCTGGCAGGAAATGCAAGTGTTTCCTTTGCGGAATCTGACCAGAATACAAGGAAAGACTTCAAGACAGTGAAGTTGAGGTCCCTTAATTAAAAAACAAACAAACAAAAAAACCCCCCAAAACCATCCAGATTACCCTACGGTAAAGCTCGTGGTTGGCAAGGCCACCATTCACTCCTAACGTTCCAGCAGTTTTTAGAACCCATGCTCTGGTATGAGCACATGGCCAAGGGTGGCTGGCACTGAGGAAACCCTCTAAGCTGAATGATAGACCCCAACAAACAGAAAGAAGCAGGTTGGAAGAGATAGAGACTATGATGTGGAAACTAATTTTAAAAACTATCTACGTCTCCAATTATGTGTATCTATGAGAAGACTGTACATATACAAATATGTGTATACAAATACATATATAAATTAATATCTTCATTGTAGAGATGTTGCAGCCTGGAAACAAGAGGACAGGATAATCCATATTCATACATGTTCACGCATATGTGGATGAAATTATGTATGAAAAATGGAGAAAACATAGGTGAGGGGCTTTCCTGGCCCTGGCAATCTAGAGGGAGAAGCATTGCTCAGGGACACAGCCCCAATCCTCCTGTCCTCCCACAGATGTCGGTATGGCCTTGTCGTTTCTAAGTTTGTCTCAAGAACCCAGGGGAGGGCTTCCCTGGTGGCGCAGTGGTTGAGAGTCCGCCTGCCGATGCGGGGGACACGGGTTCATGCCCTGGTCCGGGAAGATCCCATGTGCCGCGGAACGGCTGGGCCCGTGAGCCATGGCCGCTGAACCTGCGCGTCTGGAGCCTGTGCTCCGCAACGGGAGAGGCCACAACAGTGAGAGGCCCGCATACTGCAAAAAAAAAAAAAAGAACCCAGAGGGTCAGACGTTTGTCCACTTGCCTGCCCAGGTTGGTAAATCCTGCCTGCAGGGTGATATAAATCCCCAAATATAATAGGGTGGTGGGTGTCATAGCAAGAATTAAGCTTCTCAGATCTGGCTGCAGAGCCCTCATCAAACAAAAAGGGGCTAAGCTGAGACACACAGCTTCTGTCCCCTTTCTGTGTGGCCACCTTGCGTGCACAAGGATTTGAGCTCTTGGCCAATCAAATCAAGAATCTAATGCAACTTTAGATTGGGTGTATGTCTGTGCATTGTATCTGCCAGAAACCCAGACCTGGGATGGGTGGAGAACCATCTTTCTTCTACCGTGCTCGGTTTGGGATGGGGCATCAGGATGTTGAAAGAGGGCTCGGTGGCCTGGGTGACAGTCCCAAGTGTGAAATCTGTGGGAGTGCTATGTTGGCGGGGTCGCCTGTGAATCCCCAAAGGGGTTGGAAACCTCCATGAGGAGAGCCTGAGTTTCAGGGCCTGGTCTAGGGCCTTGCTATGGTCTGGATGATGACGCGGGACAGCAGGACTCCCCTGAGCCCCGCAGACGACCCGCGGCTGCTGAGCAGAGAAAATCCCTCTCGAGGCTGAGGACTTGCAGGGGTGAGTGGAGCAGAGGCGATTGGCTGCCACGGACACAGCTCTCTGTGAAGTGGTTCAGCCAGAGAGACGCAGACAGGGGCTGCTTCACTGGAGCCCTTAACTGTTTTAACACGTGAGAATTCATCTTGGCTTTTACGGAGAAAGCTTTCTGAAAAGGAGAACTGTGACCCTGGAGCTCGAAGATTTGTGAAAATGGAGGATTTTGTTTTTCTCTTTTATAAATGGTGTTCAGAGGCAATGGAAAAGGTGACTTTGAAGTGGAAGATGACATGGACTGACCTGAAATAATCTTGGGACAAATGAACTAAAGTGCCGAATAACTAAATTCTGGGTTCCAGGTACAACTTTGTTCAGGAGAAGATGGTTTTGTAGGGCTGGGGCCAACAGAGATAAAAAGAGAGAGGGGATCCCATTTGGAGTCTCAGAGTCTGGAAGTCTCAGGAAAAAATTTGCTTTGGGGCCACTTGAGAATATTGTCTTGACGCCAAGACATCTGGGGCCTCTGCGGGGGGCACTGACCACTCTACTGGGCCTCACCAGGCTGGGAGAGACTGGGAGAGACTGGGAGAGGGGGTGGGACAGATGGGTGGCGAGTGGCCCAGCTTCCGTGACCTCCGTCCTCAGGAGGCTGACAGCCCTTCCTGGGAGGACCCACCCGGTGGCCTGAGAGGGCCGTGTGGAGCCTCCCCTGCAGAGTTGGCCACATCTCCTCCCCTGCTGGGCAGGCCACCAGAGCTCTGCCTTTATCCAGTGTCCCCGGGACTTGCAACACGGACACCTCCTGTATCTCCGCACGTCACGTTTTTCTGAGAGTGCCTGGCTATATTTTCTGACCTCCTTAACCAGCCTTTAAAAACTTAGACTAATTAACTACGGAACTATTTACTCTGTTTTTATATAAAGTATTTTAAGAAATCGAAGCTCCACGTTAAAGCTGCCTGAGATAAGAGATCACGGACGTGATAAAAGGAGATTCTAAAATGTAAGGGCAAAATTAAAATTACAAAGAGAAAACTGGTAGCTCAAAAAAAAAAAAGAGCAGACAATTGTATTAATAAACTATCATGTCAGAGCAAGGTAAAGGTACTTCGCAGGGATCAATGTGAAGTGAAATCAACAGCATGAATTCATGACCTTTGAAAAAACATTTTTTTCTATTTTGTAACTGAAGCTACCAAAAGTCCCTGGGCTAATCTGTTCTCTCTCTAGTGCTCACGTGAAATAAGATAATGTGCCCTCAAGCACCAAGAGATTTTGGTCTCTAAATCTAACTACTGCTTAAAATATTCAGGGCTTCCTGAAGAGAGGCTAACTCCATGTTGGCAGTGAAAGATTTAAGAGGAAATCAGGGCATCTTGTAATCCTACTGCTTGCAAAATTCAACAACGCATATTTAGCTTAGCAAAGGAAGGATGCTTTGCAAAAGAAGCGGGAACCACGAGCCAATGTAGATTTATTTTCTCAAGACAAATAATTCCCACCTTATAAGCTCACAGTTGAGGGACGTGATCTTGAGTTTAGCAAATCATTTGATTAAGTCATGTAATATCCTTGTGACTAAATAAAGAAATGTAGAGTGGATTTTAAGACAGCTGTATGGATTCAGAACCCGCTAATACCATAGATTAATAGATGATTTACGAACGAGCAGGACAAACGCAATGGCATTTAGCCCTAACCCTCCTTAGTCAACATTTCTAGCAACAGTTAGAATGATGACATGCCTAGGAAATTTAGAGATGACACAAAGTTATGAGGGTCAGCCAGCCTGCCCTATGAGACAAGATTCCAAAAGATATTTTCAGGTGAGAATGATGTTTGAACACCAATCACTTGAAATTGAATAAGAAGAAACATAAAACCACACACTTAACGTTGTAAAAATGAACGCAGCGCATAATGAGAAACCCCTGATTTTTAAAAGTTCGTATAAGGAACATAGAGGGTTGTTAGTTAACTGAAAACTCAAAATGAATCAATAGTGTGATATGGAGACTTTTTTTTAAGGAATGCTATCTTAGGCTGCATTATTAAAGTATCTACATCAGGCGTCAGAAAACTTTCTCTGCGAAGGGTCGCATAGTACATCTTTAAGGATTTACAGGCTATACGGTCCCTGTCCACACTCAATCCTCCTGTCCAGCATGAAAGCAACCAGAGAAAATACATAAAGGAAGGAGTAGGACTGCACTCCAATGAAACTTTATTTGTGGACACAAATTTGAATTTCTGATCGTTTCACATGTCATGCAATATTATTTTGATTTTTAAAAACCATTTAGAAATGTATCCTCTCCCCTCACTTTGCCCCCCCCCAAAAGGAAAAATGATTCTTAGCTTGCTGCAGCTGCACTGCCATCTTTGGAGAATGCTGCTAGAGGGACTCCCTACAGCTGAGGGGAGGGGGGAGGGGGGAAAACTTCCGAAATGTGTATTAAGCAAATCTCACCTTCAAAAATCCTCAGAACCTCTTGATTAATATACTTCTTTATTTCTTCAAATGAAACCACATCAGCCTAGAGAGAGAAAAAAGGCCTGTTAATGCAGAACCTAGCACAAGTGAATAAAGAACAGAAATGCTGGGAAGAAGTGCATAACTACAGTGCTTTAAAATCTGTGGGCCGGCACCGTAACCAGCGATAGGAACATACTTCCTACTAGATTTCACACGATTAGGAAAGACATTTCCTATTACTTCATTTTCTGAAGTAATTTGAACCAGTGTTATGACGGGACCACCCCAGGCACATTTTTAACCTGTAACTAATCCCTGGACACTGGTAAAGTCAATATCTAAATGATTTTATTATGTATCTTCAAAGGAAGAGAACTCCAAGTACGCTGAATGATTCTTTGATAGGTTTTGTTCATGGGATAAAACTAAGTTTTACCCATTTCATGGTGAAGTTCATTTGCAATCTGCACATTGTAAGCATACTTGTAGTAAGCAATTTCCTTTCCTTCATAGAAAATGCTGCAGGATCTGGTAAAGCGGAGTAGGTAAATGACGCCAGTTGAATTTTTAACCCCTTGACAAACAAACCTACATGAATTCGACAGAGAACCTAACATTTAAAATGGTATCTCACATTTATAATGGTAACGTTTTACTATAATACCTTGACATTTTTAAAAGGGAGCTATTATTTTTCATGACGGTTAGGGTTTCAAGGTATGTTGTTACTCATAAAGTGATGATTTCTGTGGGACAGAACAGTTCCAATTTCAATATTTTACTTTCACTGTTTATGGGGCAAATGAACTTGAATGAATGCATCTAATACCACGTACTGACACAGCACTGAGAGTTCACTGTATAGGCTTTATTCAAGCAGAGTGTAGGAAGAGTGGGTAAACCAAAGCATATGGTGGGAAGGCCCAATTCGGCCCAATCTCTGGAATTGGCTGATTATCTGAGGACGGCATGTCCTTAACCCCCTGGCCTCACGCTAGGACACCCCTTTCTTCCTGATGTGGATATTTTCAGATTCAGTTCTCCGTGGAATGGCCATCCACCAGCCTCCTGACGATGCTCATAAGGACATGGGCTTCCTTAGCCAAACACTCTTTCTTGGCCTAACAGGTTTCCACTTCAAAGCACCATACAGGGCAGATTTGTTGTTCTGATTGTCAACAAAATGGAGTGTTAACATGAAGCAGACGTGTGTTTTCTGGGTAGTGTAAGGGGACATTATGGATAGTATTGAAGAGTGTGGGCTCGGAGTTGGTCAGGCCTGGGTCTGACCCACTGGATAACTGTGACGTTGGACAGGTCGGCACTCGGCTTCTGCATGCGTCAAGGTGGATGGACAGGTCACCTGTCCTCCCAGGTTAGCTGTGAGGCTCTATTGAAGGATGTTTAGTGAGTACTAAAAGGGGGGAGTCCACACATAACTGAAATAAATGACAGCTATTGACACCCTTGTAGAAGCCGGCTTAGGTTCATTATACTAACCTTGAAAGGTTTATGACTGCTCTTGTTGTAAAAGGGACATGTGGTCAGTCCCAGCCACGAGTTCCTCGCCCACTTACCGGGGAGCCGGGGAGGCCTGGGTGGCCTGGAAGGCCTTGGTGCCCCGGGGAGCCCTTATTTCCTGGGGGCCCCATAGGACCTATGGCTCCCTTTATGCCTGGAAGGCCTGGTTTTCCACGTTCACCCTGTGGGCCTCGGTCTCCTGGAATTCCCTGATCACCCTGTTAAGGAAAAAAATGAAAAAGAATGATCTCTTCTAGAAGCACGTTAGCTGTGGTTAAAAGCAGATGTCTGGATTCATACTGGCCCGTACTAGCTGTGAGGCCTGGGGTAAAATGAATCGAACTCGCTGCACCCTGCGTCCTCTCCCTAAAGTGGGGTTATTAAGAGTATCCACCGAATAGGTGGATGCTGAGAAGTGAGTGAACTCAGGTAAAGTGCCTAGAACAAGCCGACACGTGGAAAGCACTCAGTACAAAGTTAGTGACGATGTTACTTGTACCCGGGTGCCAGTCTAGAATGATGCCACTTTTGAAAGTCAACAGCGGCTGTCACTTCAGGCTTGGGTCTCCTTTTCAATGAGGAAGGAAGATGGTTAAGAAGATTTCCTCACTGAAAGTTTTCACTCGGAAAAGCTTCAGGACACTCAAAATCTCTCCTAAATCATGTGTTTTTCCTTTTTTCTGCTTTTTCCTGTATGCTTGGTCTTTAATAGTTTCTGTGGGTTGGTTTCTGTGCTCGTGTTTTACATGCACACGTGTATGTGTGTGTGTGAGTGTGTGCGTGCGCAGTGTATCTTAAAGAGTCAGGAAGGTGAGAAAGGGAGCCTTTGGGAAGGTTCAAAGTAGGTCACTGGGGTGGAGAGTCATCACTGAGGTCATTCGTTCAATAATGTAAATAAACTGTAAGAGAATTCATTGATTAAGATGCCATAATAAATTAGATGTGCCTGAATCTGAGAAGAAGTTTCGTTAATGTAGACTTTGATCCTGCAAGGTGTCTACTACTGTATGTGTTTGTGCATGAGAGTATGAAAGAGGGAAGGGGTGAGAGAGAGAGAGAGAGAGGGAGAATGTGAATGAGAGAATACACGTGTGTGACTGAGCAGGTGTCTCAGTACCACATTTCAAACATTCAGTTCCACAGTTCCAGGAGGTGATGATCACACTGAATATGAAAGGATGGTGCATTGACCTGCCCGGTATTTCACCGTATGATTCTTTTATTTGTGACTATTCTGCAGAAGTCCAAACTCTATTTCTCCTGATTTAAAAAATAATAAAAATGAATGAACAATTACAAAGATCTATTTGGTCATAAATGAAGAGATATAGAAAGAAGCCATGTAGAAAGAAGAAAAACAGTTGGACCTAATTTCAATTCTACTGTCTTGGTTATAAAAATATGTCTCACACAAGTATATCAACCCAGCTTGCATTTGGAGAAATATCGGAGATGACTAAGATTAAAAAAGAAAGAAAGAAAAGAACTACTAGCACACTTTGAGCATGCGCAAAATAAACACGATTAAAATTATCTATAGTTTAGGCACACGGATGTTCATTATAGTAAGGTTTTTTATCATGAAAATTAGAAAGAACCTAATTACCCAGGAAAGGGGAGCAGGGTATTTTCCAAATACCTTGGAAAAGCTATATCCAAACAGTGGAATAACATAGAGCCACTAAAATGTCCACGTGGATCTAGATTTACTGACATGGAAAGATGGTCGTCATATATTAAGTGAAAGAATTCACTTACGAAACAGTATGAACCAATTTTTTGAAAAGTATATATTCACTTGTACCGATGCATTGAGCAAATGTGTATATGATGTATAACAGTGAGATGGAAATATGTCCAAAATATCAATAGTGCTTATCTCTGTGTAGTGGGATATGGTAGGCTTTTTTTTGTTTTTTCTTTATATATCTCTATTTTTGTGTTTCCTTCAGTTAGCATGGATTATTTGGGTAATAATAAGTAAACTAGACACCAGTACACAAGAACGTGTGTGCACGTGTGCATGCATACACACACACACACACACACACACACGCAAGCCCTCGCTAGAACCCCTCTGAAAAACAGTGCTCAAGGAACCTGTTGCCATGGAATGCATCCATTTCTAGCAGAAAATGCTAAGGTTCCTTAGAGAAAAGAATGGGAAGCTGCAACAATGACATCAACAACCAAAACAATGCAAAGAAAAACGTACGCCGTAACTGGCATTACTAGTAGCTCTATATGTCTTTCCCCTTTGTCTTTCTCTCCCCCCTCACCAGCCCCCCCCCTTACTCAGCTTAGTATTATTCCCCCAGCTCAGGGGGTCTTGACAATTCCTCTGCTCCCAGGGAGGCATTTGCAGTTGCAAGGAGACATTTTTGGAGGGAGTTTGGTTGTACAGTGTCTAGTGGGTAGAGGCCAGGGATGCTGCTAAACATCCTACAAAGCACAGGACAGGCACCTATGACAAAGAATTACCTGCCCCAGACAGTAACAGTGCTGAGGTGGAGAAACCCTACTTCAGGTAAAGAACACACGGGTGATAGTTACAATAGGACATGTGTCTGAGACAGGAGGCTGATAGAAGCTTTCCAAACTGGAACAGCAAACCAGACGCCCTGATCCTGTTTCCCTGAATGGTCCCATTTTATGCCTGGCAGAGACCTTGGATCACATACACCCCAGCCTTTTCATATGCGGAGATTTCGAGGGGGTCTACGACCATAACTGTGTAACTCAAATGAGGGGGCAGTTGTGGAGACAGACTTAAATAACAATCACAGTAGGAATGTACATACCCGTTCTCCTTTGGGGCCTCTCTCTCCAGGCTTACCCATGATGCCCTGAAAAACAAATGTCAGCACTAAAAATCACTGTGTATCAAGATTTCTCATCAAGCTGCTGGATCAGGAGCTCTGGCAGGTAATCTGGATGTAGTTTTGCATTAGAACATTTATTTTCAACAGTATTTTCCATACCTGTGCACCTGGTAATCCATCTTTCCCATTTATTCCCTGTAAAGACAAAAAATGATCAATATTTCTCATTCTGCATTAACAGACATAATTAAATGCAACAAGAGGGTAAAGTTTCAAGGACTTTATCATATTTCTACTGAGATTTTGGTGAGGCAGTGTGGTGAAATGGAAAACAAAATCGATAGAGTCAGCCCCAAGTTTAAATTCTGACTCTGTCACTTGCAAGTTCCATTTACTTCAGGCAATTTACTTAACCTTAATAGCGTCAGCTTCTCCACTTATAAAGTCAGGATAAAATAATGGCCTTAAAACTAAGGATTTAGGGAAATACCAGAAAATGCCTAGCTCACTGTAAATAGTCAACAGGGTTATTTTCCTTCCTTATTCCATTAGGTACATTCTGAGAAATAAGAAGGTTCCCCATGGCACTGCTTGGCTGGTGTACGGCATTTATTGTTCCCTTCTAACAATCTTCCTACCAAAGAGAGCCATTCTCAGTTAAATGGTCTCCGTTGCTGCTTGAGAAATCTCATAACATGGCCAGAGCCAGATGCCACTATGAAATAAACTGTCAGCCAGAGAACGATTGTTATTTTTCAGTTAGAAAATATGAAAGGACAGTGAGAAATCTGTAACCATGTTTTCTGAGAGTATTAAATAGTGGCTTTTTCTTAGTAAACTGGAAGTTTCCCGAACTATACATGGCAGTTCTGGAGGTGGTAATAAAGCCCAATCCTGCTTGCAGATTTATAAGCTTGGGAGAACCACTGACTGGGAGGTGTTAAGAAGGGAAAGCACCTGGGGTCCCATCAAATACTGAGAGACAGCAGGTACGTTTCTGAGATTTGATTTGAAGAGGGAGACCAAGGTGAGGAAATGATTTCTTAGCCAGCAGGCAGGTGCATGGACTTGCTCCACTTTAAAGCCCGGGAGGCTCTGATTGTGCTGGAGTGCAGTCTGCAAGGATGGACCTGCAGAAAGGTCTGTGTTTATACTGCTGTAAATCACACTAACACCTGCCACAGTTGGGAACCCAACCAGAGTCCCTCGGCCTTCCTGAACAGCCTGGGAATTATCTAGGGCACTTTAACTAAGACCACGTTGCCCAAAGCATCAGGTTCAAAGGATTTATGTCATCCAGAAACATAAGCAAAAAAGGATAAAGCTGATGAAGGAGAGGATATGAAAGAAACAACTGTGTTAACTGAATAAAAGAAGATAAATCTGATGTAAAAATATAATTCATGTTTTTGGTAACAATACAAGAAAATGAATAAACCTATAGATAATTTTTTGTCTCTTGTAATTCATCAATGACTCTTATGTGTGTTCTCTTCTCTATGAAGGCATTACTAACTTGTTCTCCATGGTGTGGGGGGGGTGAGTTCTGCTTTCAGAAATTTTTACAAAAACCGCAGTGGATTTACCTCTATCCCCCTCGTCTCACTTATCTGCAAGAACGCTATTCTTTTTTCTAACTCAGAAAGTATAACCAGCTTTCCCTCTGCTGCACACCTGCGTCTGAGCAGCTGACTGTGGGTGAAGAAGGGTTACCCTCGCTCAGGTGTTCTGATCTACACGTATGGCCGCAGCTCCCAAGCAGCCCCTCTGCATCACCGGCCATCCTTCTGTATTTCCTGACTTGACTCTTTCTTTCCAGAAGTACTTGCACATATTTTCCTGTCTCACGAAACCTCCAGCATCACCACCCCACTCCTCATGGTCAACTGATGACTTCCGTCCTTCACTGAGAAAATCACAGCAGAGGACCCGCTCACATCCCCGCTGCCAGAGCCACGCACCTGTGCGCATGCGTACTCGGACTTCCACCCGCCCCCTCCCCGTGAGAAGGTTGCCCTGCCCTGTTCCTTGTAAACACCTGTTTCCACTTGGGAGTCTTCTCTCCTTACTCTAAGTCCACTCTCTTGTATCTTCAAATGTCCCCTCTCAACGGGGTCATTCTTCATCAAGATCCTACCGTGCTGTACTCTCCCCACAATGAGGGCCACATTTCCAAACGTGGGGGAGAATTGTCAGCTCCTTTGTTACTTTTCTGTATGTTTTCCTCTCGTTTCTCTTCAACACTTACCTCCCTCCACATCCAGGAAACCGCCTTCGCCTGGTTTTCTTCACATCTCACTGGCTGCACCTTCTCCGTCTTTCTGCCATATCCTCTCCTAAGAGCCCTGTTCTCTTCCCAATTCGCAGTGACCCCACTGCATCCAGGCTCAGGTTGAAATACCCAAATCAGTCTCTCCAGTCCTGGCCTCTCCATTAATTGCAGATGCACATATACACTGCTTACTTGACTAGAAATCCACTTGGATGTCTACTAGTGCTTCAACATGAAGTTTTACAACAGAGAGCTCAGTTTTTCCTCCCAAACCCACCCATGTCACGAAACATACCACCCTGACCCGGTTGCTCAGACCCCAAACCACAGCTTTGACTGGTCTCTTCCTCTCACTCTGCATCTGTTTGATCCATCAGCAAGTGTTGCTGGCTCTACCTTCAGTGCACACCCTAGATCTCCTCTTCCCACCATCTGTGTTTCTCATGGGGATTACGGCGATGCTTCAGAGTTCCGTTCCCTACGGTGTGCCCTCCGCACAGAACTCAGAGTACTCCTTGAAATGCAGTCCAGTCATTTTGCTTCCCTGCTACAGATGCTCCAGTGGGTCTCTGTCAGACTTCACATGAAACCCGCCCTCCATTCCTGGCTTAGAAGTTCCTTGTGCTCCGCCACTGGCTGCCTCTCCCTCCGTATCTTTGCCCCTCTCCTTTAGCTCAGCTCACGCCTGCCTTCAGGCCTTCCTCCCTTCCTTCAACACGGCAGGCTCTACTAGCCATTCCTTTTTCTTGGAACAAGCTCTCCCTGCCTCCCCGCCCTGCTGACCTCCCCATGGCCTGAGCTCTCCCATCATGCAGGGTTTGCTCAAGTGGTGGGCCTTTATTGACTGCCCTATTTAAATTCTACTCTAGGGCTTCACCCTGCTCAGATCATCTTCTCCCTGAAGTTGTGTGTGTCTATTTGTTTGTTGTCTTGTGTCCCTGTACTAGGATGTAAATCCGATGAGCTGAAACCTCCCAGTGCTTGGCATGTAGTAGGCGCTCAAGAAGTATTTGCTGAGTGAACAGATTGCTTTTTACATAATCCCCTCGGAACTGGATGGCAAGCATTTGTGAGTGGCTTACAGGGGCTGGGATGGGGAGCTGGTAAAAGGGAGGGAGGGGAGGGAGGGAATGAGACTAATATTAATGGGGCGTCTCCCACGGCAGGCATTGGACGTCTTACCATATGTCACATTGCTTAAGTGACTCACAAACCCTTTGAGTCATAACTCAAACCCAGATCTTCCTGACTCTAAATTGCATACACTTCCCGTGCATTCATGTTGCCTTCTCTGGGGAGGCTGTGGCCAGGGAATGCCCTTACCCTGTGGTCTCACAGATTCTGAGCAGCCTCCTGAACTCTGCACTGCGTGGTCACCTTCAGCCCCCCTCCTCCTAACAGCATCCCCTTCCCACCCACCCCACGGCGCAGAAACAAGCAAAGGGAGCAGGGACTTCTATAAAAAGCACACCCGAGAGTGAGGTATGTCTATTCCTCTTTATATCCCCTCCCTCGGGGCCCAGCACATCCTTAGCAAACGGCAGGGATGAGCTGACAATATGTGGAATTGAGTTGAATTAGTAGGAATGGTTGTTACAATGTCACATCAATATAATATATCAGTAGCCAAGAGCTCTTTTAGGACAGGAGGGGATGATGTATTTGACAGCAGTGATTTATGAACGTGTAAGAACAAGGCCCACAGGTAAAGGAGGGAATCTGATACAAGAGCTTCTTTCCTCTCTAGCTTAACACACAGGTGTTACATCTGCGAGTCTTTGTATTTCAGGATATGACAGGCCATTTCATGTTTTAGCTCTGCTGAGGACCTCAGACCTGAGAAATAATGAGTCTAATTTCCTGACATTTAAAACAAAAGACCTCGCTGTTCTCACTGTGGCTTAAGACAGAGATACTCACAGAGCTGGGCACTCAGTGAGAGCCACACCCCCAAAAGCCATTTGCAGACCTGCGCTTACTTACTTGGAAACTACTTAGTCCAATCTCAGACTTTCTGAAGAGAGAGGTAAAGAGGCAATGCTTAGAACATTTCTTAAACTGGCAAATAATAGATAAAGGACTTACGGGCTTTCCTGAGGGTCCTTCTGGTCCAGGGAAACCTATGTCTCCAACAGGCCCTCTCTCACCCTGTAGACGTGGCCACAGACAAACATTAGCTGCCAAGAAGAGCTTTGAAACTGCATGTAGTACAACACAAGGACAATGGCTAAGTAAGGAATGGGCAACTGACCGGTTCTCCTGGAATTCCTGGAGGGCCTGGGGCTCCGGGTTTCCCCTGGGAAATGAAGCCAAGGGGAAATGTTAGGAGCCAGATTACTGAATGAGGCCACACACTTCCCTCCCCCACCTGTGCGTTTACCACCCGTGCTGCAGGTGTGGCTCTACACCGACCTGGCAGCCCTACCGGCCAGAGTCCCGGAAACCACACTGCACTGGGCAGACGGGACGGCAGTCCCTCAATGCACATATGGGTGTGTGGTATGGGAGGGAGGATAAGCTTTTGAAAATATTAAGCCAGTGTATCCTCATTTCTGGAAATCCCTCTTGATGGGCAGATCCTCTTTACTTTAGGGGGAAAGAGGGCACAGTGGGTCAAAGAAGTCCTTCCTAGATTTTGATTTTCACAAGAAGCTTTTTCAGTTCATAGTGAGATAGCCTGAAAAGAAGCATGGTTGATTTGAAAGGCCGTTTTGTTGAAAGGAGAGGACAAGTTTGGTGTGACCCAGCGTACCGCAGCCTGGAAGACTGAGGACGGAGAAACCGTGGGCTAGAGAGACCACAGGAGGGATGAGAGAGGAAGATGCACCAGCAGAGACGGCAGTGGACACGAGCCCAAGCGTCCAGGCCAGGCCTAAGGATCCTGCCTTGGAGAAAGAGGCGCCGCCTGCACCTTGAACCTCATGTGGTTGGAGATGCAGGTGTGGGACTGAGACCATGGAAATCCCAGTAGGTTGCAAGGGAATGGAGAGGGAGGCCCTTTTCCGCACTTGCTGTATGGAACTCTGGGAGCAGACCGCCTGGTAGGTCAGCTACAGCTGAATACCGAGGCGAGGCAGACACAAGGCCCTGAGATGGCATCCGGGCTCCCACCGCCCGCCTGCAGCAGGAGCGCCTGGAATCCCACGGACCTGAGTTGGGGGATGTGTTAGGGCTGAGAAAGCCAGTGTCCCAAAGGGTCTTGGCATGGACTCAGGGGTGCAGGGTGCTTGGGCCTGGAGCTCCAGACGAAGATCCCAAAGGCTGGGTAGTGCTGGCAGGGACCTCGGAGGCCCCGGGGAGGGCATGCTGCCCACACGCCATCCTGGGAGGGAGGGGAGGAAGAGCCCTGGGGAAGGCCCTGGAGGGCCTGAGTGCACTAGGAGGAAACAGACAGCTCTGTTCCAGGAAGAGCAGGACCGGCCCGCTTGGCTCTCAGCAGAGGCCTGTGATGTGCTGAGCAGGTAGACACATCCCTGCTTCAACCAGAACCATCACCTTAAAAGTCTTTTATTGTGGTAAAATATACATAACGCGAAAGCTACCATTTTAGCCATTTTATGTGTACAATTCAGTGGCATTAAGTACATTCACACTGTTGTATAACTGTCACTATTTCCAGAATCTTTGAACTAATTCATTTTTCCGAGCCACAGTAAGGTCCAGTTATAGAAAAGAGAGGTGCACTTTTAACTACCCAGTTGTATATTTGCGGCGTGCAAAATGTTTACCCTTCCCTATTTCTGTCATTGTCAGTTAATCTTCTTAATGATGAGATAGGAAAGCTGCATTTTAGGTAAATGTATTACATCTTGGACATCCCAACAAGTGGCAGGCTAGCCTCTAATTTCAGTCATGCTGCATCCTTCAAAGTATCCTTGGAATTCTTCATTTGGATCGTCTTTTGATCCTGTCACTTATTTTTTCAATACTTTCAATGGTTGCTAGTATCTTTTCTTTGAAGGTAGACTCGGTTTAGGGTAATGGCTGAAAGGAATTTATAGTCCCACCTGAGTGAGCACTGTGGGGCATTACACTTCATTATACCAGGTGGAAACAAAAACAGGCTGTGAAGGCACCCTGAGAGGCGGGTTGTAGGGGACTCAGGGCAATTGCACAAACAGCTGCGAATATGTTGCTAGGAGTGGTGGTGAGCAGGGGAAGGCGGGGAGGAGGGGGATAGTGTGAGCCAGTTGTCAAGAAGAATGCTTTCGTGTACCAAAAATTCTGCAGTGCTTGCTAAAGAAAATATTTTCATGTTACTGTTTTTTTTTTTTTTTTTTTTGCGGTACGCAGGCCTCTCACTGCTGTGGTCTCTCCCGTTGCGGAGCACAGGCTCCAGACGCGCAGGCTCAGTGGCCATGGCTCACGGGCCCAGCCGCTCCGCGGCATGTGGGATCTTCCCGGACCGGGGCACGAACCCGCGTCCCCTGCATCGGCAGGTGGACTCTCAACCACTGCGCCACCAGGGAAGCCCTAAAGCAGCTAATTAAGGGGATGTTATCCTTCATACAGGATGCTTTGCTATGGAGTGTGGATGGGTTTTTATTTTTTTGTCCTTAGATTTAGCAACTAAATAGAGTGGCTACCCTCCTTTTGAAGGATGGGTGCTGGGGGGTGGTGGTAGGAGGGTCTGAATGGTGCTGGGTGGAGATGGTAGGGCCCTTTCTTATCTTCCTCATGTTCCTGTGACTGAAGCACACGGTTTCCATTGACTTTCCTACCCTGGCCCACCCTGCAGGGGCAGCTAGCGAGGATAAGCGGGCTCTTATTCATCAAGCCTGACCACAAAGTTTTAATTAGAGCCTCATGAATGAAGATCAGAATAATCCCTAGGGCTCAGAGAAATGATTTTAACCTTTCCTGGAGCACTTCCTATTCATCTGGAAAGACCTTGATGAGATTAAAACACTGGACACATTAAAACATTGGACACAGAGAGCAACAAAAATGATTGAGAGGCTGGAAGGACTAGTTTACGAGGACACATTAGCAGCCATAAAGCTCTGCTAATAACACCTGGCTGAGGGAAAACTCAGGCAGATGGCAGCTTAATAAGCACATGCCTGAGGATGAGAACTTTGCCTTTTGAGGAACAAGAAACCTTGAACTATGATAGGAATAGAGAAACCCAACAAGCTTCTCAGAGCTGTGCTATCTTAATGCGTTGACACAGGTAACTGGGCTTCCCCTTCCCATGTGAAAGTGAGTTGGGGAGAAAAAAACAAAGAAAAAAATTTAAAAGATGAAAATAAAGAAAGGAGCATTCTTGAGGTGGGAGAGGGACGGATGGTTCTGCTTTTTAAACCGGAGGTTTAAGGAGTCACTGCGTGCTCCCAGCCCTTCTGACGGTCGGTGCCCATGAAACCAACATGAGAGAATCTGGACTCACCGAGATTCCCGCCACTCCAGGGGGACCTGCCGGGCCTCGATCTCCCTAGAAAAAATGTACTATTTATAATGATATCTATAAAATCTCCACCGATGAAATTAATGCTCAAGTAATAATTTGGATTTGGTAAAGCTTCTCTTTGGAACTTATAAATGTTATCCGTATCAGCTGGGTGAAGCTAGAGCCCATATGGGAAAAGAACAAAATGAAAACTGCAGCCAATGGAACCTACTAAAGTTCTCTCTCTCTCTTTCTCTTTTTTTTTCTCCCATAAAACCAAAGCAAATAATAATCTTAATGAAAACGAGCATTCATGGTATCATTTCTGTGACCTATTCTTTTAAACAGAACCCCATCCATATTACAGGTAAAATCAGTAAACAGTTTTATTCCACATATTCAAAAGTAATTCATTACTAATACTTAAAAGCTAAGCACACTGAATGTCTTCTAAAAAGCTTTCGCTGTACTTGTCTCATTGGATGTAGGTTAGAATAAATGTGTTTAGAACTGGGGATTTTGTAGCTTCTCCTCTTTAGGCCAATAAGAAGAGCCCTGGAATTGCTCTGAACAGTGGACTGAATCAACCCTTTTTCCAAAGGCAATGTGGTATTTTAGATAAAGCCGACAAGGCTAAAAATACTTCTGATTATATATGGGGTAATAAAATGGCAATTTTTTGTTGAGCAGAATCTACATTAAAAAACTTCCGAAGTTCCCTAAGGGACATAAAAGAAGACTTGATTAAATGGAGAAAGATGTTTTGTTCTTGGAGGGCATGACAGTGCTATAAAGGTGTCATTACCACTCAAACTAATTTATAAATTAATTCAATTTTTACAAATTGCGGCTTGATCGAATGATATTAAAGTTCACTTGGGATAATAAATATATTCGAGGATAAGAGAAAAAATAAAAGAAGAATAATAAAGAGGTTAGCAATATCGTATTTCAACATACAATAAAGCTATAATAATTGCAATAATGGAATACTGGCCCAAGATTAAGCAGTATATCAATGCAATATAACAGAAACCTCAGAAACAAACCAACATTTATAATAGAATTTTAGTAAAGAAAGGGCTGTATTATTCAACAAATAGTGCTAATAACTGAATAATTTCTTTGAAAAAATCTGATTCCCTTCTTTGCATTATACTCCATATAAATTCCATATAGATTATATAAAAATAAAATGAATTAATAAGAACTAGAAGAAAATCAAGTCATATTATCTGATTTTGCTTGAGAATGAGAACGAAAGTCATTTAGTGCATAAAAGCAAAGTAAGAAATCATAAAGGAAAACAGTTTTACATTTGAGCACATAAAAGTTATATTTACATATAGAATAAGATTAAACATAAAAATGAGAGGCAAGAACCAACCAGGATAAAGCCTCCACCATATAAGACAGAAGTTAGTATCTTTAATATATAAAGCATAGCTACAGTCAAAAAAAAAAAAAAAAAAGAACTAGTAGAAAAATGGGTGAAGGATGTAAACAGGGAATCCTTGTCAGTTCCACTCTGCCCTTTTTTAATTGCAGGATTTTTACCCTGGAAATGAATATACTGGAGCTTTTCATTCAATGGAAACATTTGAATATCTGATAAAGGTGAATGTTAAGAGGGCTCCTCTCTGGTAAGATGTTCCTTCCAACAATCGGGTCTCACAGTTCTTTGAACCACTCTCCCCTAATGGTATGGCCTCTTATTTCCATAGCTATACCTGAGACCTTGTCAAAAACAATAACTATATTCCTCCATAACCTCCACTGCACGCATTCCAACCTTGGACCACCATCTTCCATCATTCTAAATCACTCCCTTGAGTACTTTGAACCCCCAAAACTTTTGATGTCACCAAGATCTCTAATCTATCCATGATTCAAATTTTTCATTATCCTTCATTGCCTAGATGGCCCCTCCTCCTTATTTATCTAGTTTAAATTCCACAGTCACTTGTTATAATCACCCCCTTGTGTATACTGTTGGCTTCCTGGCCCATTCTTGCTTCTTGCACTCACTTGTCAAAACCGGAGCCTTGTTTAAAGCCAGCTCCCCTCCTGTTCTGTGCCTTTGCCTGAGTGTATGTACATGGTACATAATCTCACTTCAGTTCATGACCATGAACCTCTAGGGTAGCGGTCCCCAACCTTTTTGGCACCAGGGACTGGGTTTGTGGAAGACAATTTTTCCACAGACTGGGGTGGGGGAGGGGGGATGGTTTTGGGATGATTTGAGCGCATTACGTTTATTGTGCACTTTATTTCTACTATTATTACATTGTAATATATAGTGAAATAATTATACAGCTCACCATAATGCTGACAGGAGGCGGAGCTCAGGTGGTACTACGAGCCATGGGGAGCGGCTGTAAATACAGACGCAGCTTCACTCGCTCGCCTGCTGCTCCCCTCCTGCTGTGCGGCCGGGTTCCTAACAGGCCACGGACCAGCCGAGGCCCGGGGGTTGGGGACCCCTGCTCTAGGGGGTTCTGCTCAGCCATCACACTCTGTGGTCCCTGGATTTTCCCTCTCTCTGAGAACACCTTCTCCTTAAATCTCCGACCTCTTCTCCCTACCACACTCTCAGATGATGACCTGGACTCCTCCATCTCTGAGAAAACTGAAGCAATCACAAAAGAACCTCTATAGACTCCAACCAATTCATGTGCCCACATACCAGCATCTGTACCCCTGTTCTCTGATTTCCCAGCCGTTACCATAGATGAACTATCCATGCTTCTCTCTGAGGCCAAACCCTGCATTTATGCTCTAGGTCCCCTTTCCTCTTAGCTATCTAAGGATGTCATTCCAGCAATTCTCGCCTCTCCTCCTATCTCATCATCCCCCTCCCCTTTCTTCAGCACAGTAACAGTCTGCTACTTCTGTGGTCTTAAAGTTCGTTTTAGCAAACCTTGCCCTATCTCCTCCAGCAGCTGCTGGCCCATTTCTTTACCTTCCTTTGCAGCAAAGCTCCTTAAGCACTGTTTAAACTGTATTTGCTGTCTCTAAATATTTTTTTGTCATTCTCTCTTAAACCCATTCAAGTCCAGCAATTGGTCCTACCAACACAGTGAAACAGTAATCACTCCTCTGGTGATACGTGACCTCTATATTGCTGAATCCAATGTCAGTACTCCGCCATCCTACTTGACCCCATCCTACTTGACCTATCTGTAGGATTGAGACAGATTTTCACTCTCTCTTCTTGCTACGTGATCTTTGCTTGATTTCCAGGAAGCCAATATTTCCTCCTATTTCCCTGGTCACTCCTCCTCAGTCTCCCTTACTCATTCCCCCTTTTCTTCCTGATCTTAATGTTGGAGGGCCTCGGGGCTCAGTCCTTGACCCTCTTCCATTTTTTTGAGTGAATAAACAACACTCTTTTTGTTTTTAAGTTTTTGTCTTTTAAATTAATTTTTATCGGAGTATAGTTGACTGATCCTCTTCTCTTTTAAAAGAATCTACTGTCATTCTCTTGGTGATCTTATCCAGCCTTCTGACTTTCAGACAGTATCTATATGCTTAGACAAGCAATCTGTATCTTCACTTAGACTCTTTATTATTATTATTATTTAAAAATTTTTGGCTGCACCACACAGCATGTGGGATTTTAGTTCCCCTACCAGGGATCGAACCCATGCCCTCTGCAGTGGAAGTGTGGATTCTTAACCACTGGACTGCCAGGGAATTCCCTGAGACTCTTTTTTAAACTCCATACTTTTATATTGTACTGCCTACTCAATACCCTCACTTTGCTGTCTAATAGATACTTCCAACCTCAGTCCCATGTCCAAAATTATACTCTGGATCATTGTCTATCTGTAGCTTTCCTCATTCCTGTTGATGACGCCCTGCCATGCCAGTTGCTCAGGTCAACACCATGGAGCCGTCCTTGACTCTTCTCTCAGACCCACATCCCATCAGTCCTGTCGCTCTGCCTTCACAGCACGTCCATAACCTATCTGCTCCTCAGGACCGCCACCGTTTCTGCTCTTATCCGAGCCGACACCACTCCCCTCCCTGCCCCATCCTCACTCTCCAGCTGTGGGCCCCGTTACTCTACTACTACTCAGAAACCACCGCTGGCTCCGTATTCGCTCAGAGTGAAGGATGAAGTCCGTACAATGGCTGGTAAGCCTCTTTATTAATTAGTGCTTCTCAAACTACCTGTGGTGAAGGAGCAGTTTATTTACTTATTTATTTTCTAATGCATCATGACCCAACGTGAGTCTACTGGTCACGTGTTTGGATATCATGGCAAGGTCAAAAGTCAAGCTGCCAGACAAGTTGCTTAAATGCTTTCTCTCCATCTCTGCGCTCACCTTGCCCCCAGAATCCATAACGAGTCTGCAGACTGGCACTGGTACTGCACTGGCCAGTGAGTAGCATTGACCTCAACATGGCGGGGCTGCTCCTAACTGCCACCCCACCTCTCTGACCTCATCTCCTACCATATCCCCTCGCTCACTCCCCGGGTCTCCTTGGATGTACCAGGAGTGCTCTGCCTCAGGGCATTTAGACCTGCTGTTTTTTCTTCTTTTAAAAAAATTTTTTTAGTTGTACATATTTAAGGTGTACAACATGATGATTTGATATACGTATACATTGTGAAACGATCACCGCAATCAAAGTAATTCACATCCCTATCACCTCACATAGGTCACTGTGTGTGTGTGTGCGTGTGCGTGTGGTGAAAACGCTTAGCAGATTTCAAGCACACAGTTTAGCACGGTTACCTAGTGTCGCCTTGCTATACACTACATCTCTAGAACTTACTCACCTTGCCTGGAACATTCTTCGTTCTGGCTTGAGGGGGCTTGGCTAACTGCCCCCTACCTCTTCCAAGTCTGCTCTGTTCTTGCTTTCTCAGACCACCCGATTTAAAATGATACCCTTCCCTTCCGCACTCCTGATGCCCTCAACCTGTCTCTACTTTTTCTTCCCACAGCACTTACCAACAATATTATTTCGTTATTTGTGTTTATTCTTTTAGTTTCTGTATCCCCTTCTTAGAACATAATTTTTGTCTCTTTTGTTCCCTTATACATCCCCAAACCTAAAACAGTTCCTGGTCCAACAGTAGGTGCTCCATAAACAGTTTTGAATGTTGAATCAGTGATCACACGTCTAACCCTGCACTTACCTTTATACCAGGAAATCCTTCTAATCCTGGCAACCCCATCACACCAGGTTCTCCCTGTTAAATATGAACATAAGAACACAGAAGCGATGGTCAAAAGGTTTTTTAAGCATTGATTTCAAAAGCAAAGATATTTTTTGCCTAAAAAATACTCCCTCAAACATCAATTGGTAATTTAGCAAGTAAATAATACGCTCTATTTTCAAGCATCTGTATTCTTGCATTTGATATTTGGGAACAGTTTGAAAATAAAGCTATTCCCTGGAGAAGTATGAGTATCTTTTCTAATTAATTGTTTTTATCCTGATGAAGAATCTGCTCTGAATGAATCCCTCTAGTCAGTGATAACTCCAATTTCAATAAGAATTAGAAGGAAAGACTGGGCTTTAATAAACTTTGCCAATTTATAAGGTACCTAAGCCTTCTAGATTATCAGAAAATAAGACTAAAGTCTTTAAGAGTGGATGAAGATGGAGCTCTCAAAGTTTATAATCCCTCAATATTTCCTGGAGCTGGATATGAGTTGTGGATGCTTCAGAGGACAGCCCAGGAGCAGTTATTTATGCTGGCTCACCGAGAGGAGACAGGTAAGCATTTCTGCTAAAAAAAAAAAAAAAAAAATCTGTTACATACGCTGGTGTCTGGTCCCAGATGACTGGAACCTCTAGGCCCTCAAGGAACCCATTTAGAAAGGTCAGGGTGAAGGAAGCTGCCAACTTTGAACAATAAACAACAGGGGTTTTAAATTAAGAGAGATAAAGTGGGTAGTTGTTTGATACCTCCTTGTTAACGAATTAATGTTAACTGCAAATATTTTCTTAAGACACTGGATGTTTTCAACATAATCACATAGAAAAGGTAGCTTCCCAAGGTCATTCTCTGTAAATGTATTTTTGCATGCCTAATTCTAATTTGCTTCAAAAATATTACCAACACTTAACTTCCATTATGATTATGATAGTGTCCTTATCACGGGATGCTTCATGAGGAAGCATATCACTTGATCCTTTCTTTGCTTCAAAAGCCTTTTTAAACAACTACCAACATGTAACCTGTCAATCAGGAAAAAAAAGATGTTCAGACTCTATTCTGCATGAAGCTCTGTAACGGAGGCTCTGGGTTATTGACAAAGGAGATAAGCTCTTTGGTTTTCTTTGTTTATATTCTCAACTACCCTTAGGACAGAGGAATTGGTTGGACAGTGCTCAGCCGATCAATCAATATTTGTCTGAAAGTAGCTAATAATAAATATTTAATTGAAAGCCAATTATAAATTGAATACCAAGGGAATGAAATGGAGTGCCTCAGAAGATAATAAATTCAATTAAGGGTAATTTTTATCTGTAAAGGTTCACTGAGAAGATTAGAAACAGTGGTACGGATCTGGTGTCCTGGGATCTGAAGGATGCTGGAAGAGTATATCTCCCCATACTTACCCCGATGGGACTTTTCCATTTTCTGCTCTGTGACCTGTGACTCCACCATTCCTGGCTTATCTATCTCTATGCTATGAGGTAGTATTTCTCTATTCGGGGCAACTGGTCGGAAATGAGTTGTCCGGTGGTGGTGACATGGAGCCCAAAGGAATAATCTAAAGTTTTATCTAAGATAAACCTGAAGGTTTACTCGGTAGTTAATTTCATGATTCCACATTTCTGTTTTTGTGCTTCACTCACTTAATTCACATCTCTAAAAGCAAGGAACGTCATCCACTTAGTTTTTATTCTTTATTCTTTGTTGCAGCTAAAAAATTTTGAAGCCTAATCTCTTCAAATTCTACTCAATGCTGTCTACATTTTCGTTGCCACGCGCTTTCGAATCCAAGTGAATTATAATTTATCCTTTATTATAATACTTTTTAAAAAGGTTTCTCACCTTAACCTACAGTTACTAATTTAAAAACTTGGGTGTTCCAGAAAAGTCAGCGAGAAGCCTACGTGTCCCTGAATGATTCAGAGGGGATGCTTGTGCGTGTGAGTATGAGAAGGAAAGACCAGGAGGAAATTTTTATCAATAAGATGAAAGAAGATTCAGATTGGAATGAAGGATATGCGGGGGGAGGTGAAAGCATTAAAAAACGTTACAGATAAAGAAAGCACAGCATGAGTAATGAAACAAAGGAAACTTCTAAATGACATATTTGGGGTTCGGAAAGTGCTACAAACTGGGCATTTCATAGGGGAAAACAAATTGGCTTTTAATATATATTGCCCAATAACAAAAAATAAGCTCTTTCATGCGTCTCCTTTGAAAATCTATTTAGATGTAAAAAGATTGCTTTTTATGGCTCTTCTTTCGCTTGTTTAAAATTTATTCATCTAGCTTTACCAAACTCCACTGTAATGAAAGGGCCTGCGATTTCCTCCCACGGCAATGGCAAGTGGTTTGAAAGTTTATTTCAGTTTCAGATACATCTGAGTTTCAAGTATATACCCAAAGGTTAAAGGACATAGAAATGAAATATGAAGGACAGGACACATGCCTGAAAAGGACATGACAGGAAAATCTGCCAAGGAATAAAGGGAATCGAATCGCATCTGGCAGAACTTTTACAGTGCCGCTCCGTGGCTGAGAAAGGTGCTTAACAACCATCATCCTTCGGAAGGCTGGAGCACAGGATCTCTTCCCAGGCCGAGGGGTAAAACCTCCTGAAACACCGCTCCTAATAAGCAGGGTTATGACAGCGCACCACATCGCCTCCAGAACAACTGCCTAAGACAGTCAAAGCAAATAAACCGTCCCTGTCTTGTTGTAGTGTCGGTGGGGGAGATGACAGACCTATTAAGGAATTTCTTTCCAATAAACAGTTTTCTCCCACGATCTACTGAACATGGAACCAATCATCAAAATAGTCCTATTGAAAGAAAGTGTCCTATTTCTCGGGAGCTTTATATGCGTCTTCCTCCAGCCCAGGGTGATTTTCAAAATCACACTGATGGAAGAGCGTCAAGGGCAGGGACACATCAGGACCGAGGCATCCTGACACGAGGAGGTGTCCGCTTCCCCCATGTAACCAAGGGACATCTCAGAAGGCAGGCATCTCTCCTGAAGGTCTTCTTTCAAAATCGAATAAAGATTTATTTTCTAAATGACACAAAACATGGGAATATACATACCACTGGGCCAGGATCACCTTTGGGGCCCTATAAGAAAAATATGAGAAGTCATCTTGAAAATAACGACCGAAGCAAACTTACAAACTATGAAGAATTTTTATCCAATTGGCTTTAATACACATAAAAATATCTGCAGGTTTTGTTTTGCTATGGTTTGGATTTGAAGCATAACAAGATGAGGAAATATAACTTGATGGAACTCCCATGACGGTGATTGCTTGGACATTGATTTAGTTCTCAGGTTTCCAAAAAGTGACACCACTACGCAGAATGCTATTTTCCTTTATTTTGACTGTGTACATTTCCCCAATGTTATTATAATTGGTTTCATTTATTTCCTCCTGCAGAAAATTTTCTTTATATTTGCAACACATACTTTTCAGTGAACTTAGGAGGTCTTGTGTGTGTGTGTGTGTGTGTGTGTGTGTGTGTGTGTGTGTGTGAGGCTGCTCAGCTAAAATATGCTTGGTGATAAGCAACGGTACTCACAGGGGGGCCAGGTGGCCCTGGAAAACTGGGAGCGTTCACACCTCCCTTCAAAAGAAAAAGACAAAGGTGAGAAGAATTTGTAGTAACCCATAGCCGGAAAGTGATTTTACATAATCAGAAAAGTAAATACCTGGATTTTATATAAACTGCTCATTCCATTTCCTTCATTGAATGGTACACCCTTAGGAAAGAAATGAAACATGGAGTTATCCTTTGAAGTTAATAGTGAGCATCTCTACCTTTTGTTGTTTCACCAAATGATATTTTTCCTACTCTATTTTAGAAACTGAGTTTAATGTTATCGGTAAAAATAACAACGTTCCCGTTTTAGGTTCTTCTAAAGCAAACGTAGAAGAAAAAACCAGAAGGCATGTGGGCTCTACCTGGAGCACGCGCGCGCACTTTGGGTGGGGCTGTGACGAATGTGCCGGCTTGACAGATGAGACACTAATGCATTCAGAGGAAAATATTATTTGCTCATTAAAATTCAGTTTCTGAATTGCCAATTTATGCTAACTGTTTACAGCCTGCTGACCTGCAGGCCATAACACAGGAGTGCTGACGAAGATGTGAACAGGGAACAATTTGGCTGCTGAAAGGTAATTTTTTTCCACACTCTCTTCATACCAAATAGAAAATTAAGGGAAATGGGGGAGATGTTGTTACTCACAACCCTGCATGGATGTTTCTACAAAAACATATTCTTTAGAACAACAGGGAAGAGGAACTTCCTAATAAATTGACCTGTGAATGCAAAGTCCCAGAGCAACTAACACTTAAAGAGAACTAATGTGAGAGGCTTTCAAAATCATACATTTTGGCATTCAGGAAAAATTTGCATATGAAAATTTTAGTTAGGATCTCCTAGCCTTCTTTTTAAAAATTCCCATAGAATCATAACCTGCGTTTTCCTGTATTGTGATTTCCACGCTTCAGCTGCAAAACTGAAGAGCCATCATTGCCGTTTTTGGACCACGGCGGTCAGTGGTGCTCAGGGCGCATGCTTTGAATGCATCGTCCAAACACTTGTGAAGGAAGGAAAAATGCTCTGTTCGTTTATTCCTTCAGTATTTCACTCGTTCATGTGACAACTGCTGAATGTCTACTGTATTTAGTCCTGGAGGGGGAAGGATACTTTTGTCTGAGATTCCCAGGGCCACAGGGGGGTGCTTCACAGAAAAGACAACATTTAATTTGTTTTGAAGAATAAATAGTTTTGGAGAATCGGGCTGGGGGGCAAGGGAGATTTCTTAAGTCCATCGTAAAATAGAGGTCCCTTTTGGGAGCTCATGTTGTATTTTGCTGTTCTGTCCACTGGGGAGGGAGGGTATTTTAGTGTTTGAGCCTCAAATGCTGCCTGCTCTGCTTCCTTGTCAAGGGAGAAGGTAAGTAAAACAAAAATGAAGAGCACGTTTAGGGAAACCGAGTGCCAGTGTATTCACTGATGTGCGCAAACGTGCGATTGCATGCAGACTAGCGATGTATCTTTGTTGTCTCCAGCATCTCAAGAAACTCTTACCAGTGGAGAAAGCTGAGACGTGAAACTGCACAGCAGCCATACCCTTCCTGTCTCTTGTTTTTAGATGAGGATGGTACTTAAGGTGAGGACTCGGGCCATTTCAGGGCGTCACTCAGTTTTCCTGGATGTCTCCCTTGCATATAGGAAGCGCACATGTTATTAAACTTCTGATTGTGTTTCTCCAAAAAAAACAAAGTCATGGATGAATTCTGCCCCTTCTGGGGGAGTCTGGCTTCTTCACCTCTCCCTCTGAGGCAGGTGGGAAAGAACGCTTGGCCGGATGGACGCTGTGATGCTGTTTGAGCGAGACCCCACTTGAGGGCAGACTTGCTCCAGAGACAGGCCCCTGTCCTCCTCAGCCTACCGACAATGTGCACGTCTGTCTCAATCCCTAGCACGAAAGCAGCGGTGGCTCTTGTACATTTCATTCACTAGGCGCCATATAAATAGAATTTCCCTGCATCTCGGGCATCATAGATGGTAATGAACACACACAGCACAACAGAATTTTTCTACCAACTCACACTGCCGGAAGGGATGTCTTTTTACAGCCCCTGTCTTTCCTGTGAATGAGGCTCATTGAGGTTAAATGACTTTCCCAGGGTCCCCCAGGCAGGAGGTGGAGAGTAGGGGTGCACACCCACCTGAACTGAGTCCACAGCAGGGAGGCCCACAGTCTGCAAATCCGAGCAGTGTGCCTCAGGGCTGAGCTAATGCGGGAATCAGGGCTCCCCTAAGCCACCCTGGCTGTCATTCACATTTATACATAAAACTCAGATGACTTTTATCCTTGAGAATATCTAAATGTAGTCTGACCTCTGAGTCATAAAAGCTTTTTTTTGATTTCAACTATAGGACATTCTGAAAAAGGCAGAAATATAGAGATAGTAAAGAGACCAACAGTTTCTAGCGGCTGGAGGGACAGGGAGGTGAGCGATGAACAAGTGTAGCACAGGACGTTTTCAGGGCAGTGAAACAGTTCTGTATGGTACTGTAATGGTGGATACATGAGATTATGCACTTATCAAAACGAATGGACCATACAACCAAAAGAGTAAACCCCAGGGTCAACTATAGAGTTTAGTTAATAATAATGTATCAATATCAGTTCCTCAACTGTAAAAAATTCAACTCTAAGAGAGAAATTATATTACCTGGATAGTTAATGGGACAAATAATATTTCTCGACATATACTTCATAATAATAATTTTGTTATACATGCCACTGAAAAATCATTATAGCAGGGTTAGAAGGAACTTTATACATGTTTTTGGTTTTTAAGCCGAGATAAAATTCACATACCGTAAAGTTTATACTTTTAAAGAGTACAATTCCACGCTAATGTTAAGATATTAATGATAAGGGAAACTGCTTGTGTGTGTGGCAGGACCATATGGGAACTCTTTGTATTTTCTGTGAAATTTTCCTGCAAACATAAAAAATCATCCAAGAAAAATAAAATCTATTTAAAAAAACAACAAAAAAACAAACAAAAAAAGTAAAATCCTTTTTTTTTCCTTTTCCGTTATGGTTTATTACAGGATATGGAACATAATTCCCTGTGCTATACAATAGGACCTTGTTGTTTATACAAGTCTGAAGTAGATGCATGAACTTATGTTTTAAACCTGAAACAACTCACAGGTGGTCCAGGTGGTCCGGGTCTCCCAGGGGGTCCCTCGCTGCCCTGCAAGGGGGTACACAGACCAACATCAACGGCTTAGACATTTCTACTCCAGGTTTATGGACCCGACTGCGCTTGTTCTGAGAGCCACATTCTGAAGTCAATATGACTTGTTTTGTTCACCCTTGCAAAGTCTTATTCAGCGGGGCTTTTCCCTTCACCTGGAGAATTAACATTACTAGACCACGGGAAAGGTAAATGCCTTTTCTCACAGGCATTCAGATCCTCACGGTGTGAGCACCAGGGATGAAACTTATTTTTAGATGGAGCCAGACAAGCAGATGACCAGGTCCTGGACTTTGAGTGCAGCTGGGGGAACTCTCCCCACATGGGGGTGCAGAGCACACTTCCTGAAGGCTGGGGCAGCTCAGGGACATGGCTTTTTGGGTCAGACCCTCGCTTCTAGCCTCACCTCCACCACCTTCATCTTTTGGGAACCAGAGAGGGCATCCACATGCTCTGACTGAAGTAGAAAATCACAACCTGTGTGTGTCTGCAGGAGGAAAACCTTCTTTCACATCCTAAGTGAATATCAGGCATGTCCCACTGAGCAGAAGTGACCGTGGTACAACGCTGTATAAGGGAAATGTTCTTTACAATGTAAACAGCCTCAGACATTCTGCTTCCAGGCAAAGCAGACTGAAAATGAAATGTGTGAGAAATGCATTCAAGTTGAAACTTGAAAAATGGGATTTCATCTATATTTTGATAAAACATAGGATGCTTATCGGTCCATGATAAACAGAGGTATGATACTCCTTTTGGTGCCTTTAACCAGTTTTTCCTGTAACTGCTTTTTTTTTTTTAGAATAATAGCCTCATAAAATCTTTTGAGTCCCTCAATATCAGGGGCGATGGCAAGAAATGGTTCATTAAAAAAGAATCCAGAGAGAGTAAAATTCCTACTTTAAAATGCCCAAGAATTTTGAGGGATTTTAGTCTATTTTCATAAATTTGATGAAGGATTTCATTCCAATCTCCCCATTTTTTCAGTAACCAAAGAATCCTAGAAACCTTTTGATTGTATCTTTATCAATAAAAACCAACTGTTAAGTTTTTCTTGCAATGTATCTGTCTGAGAAGGAGTGACCATGAGTATACTGTATCTTTTCCCAAACTGCTCTGCTGGTGGCTCTCTCTCTAAGACGCATGGGGCTCTGCTGGCAGCGTCCTTCAGAGAATCATGTCATGATTCTCATGAACTGTGAGAGGACAACAAACAAGGAAAATATGCGCCTATTGAAAGGACTTCTTTTTTTCCGGCACAATTAATAGTCATATTTTCATTCTCGATTGTGCCCCAAAGCTCATCTCAGTGTGGAATTCCCATTAACTTCAAAAGGCAAATCTCTGACTGAATAATTTCCATCAAGAACAAATCAAAAATGCTGGTGGAGGTGGGCAAGCTCCCTGGGATGCTATCAGAGAAACTGTGCTGAGACTGTCCAGAATAAGCACGTTGTTGCCTTTCAGTTTGGGGGGATTCCTTTGCTCCTTGATGCCATTATGCCCCACTGTGGTCATTTTGAGGTAGAAGCCACTTGGGTGGCTCACATGGCCTCCGGATTCTTAAACTTCTCTCATCCAAAGAGTTAGTCCGTGTGACTCATGTGGTGGCTCTATCACACTGTGGGTGACACTTTAGATCCTAAATGGGGTAACTGTGTGATCTTCCTGCTGAGACCTCTTTTGCTGGTTCTCCCTGCTGACCACAGCAACCCATCTGTCCTGTCAACCGGACTCCCCAGGAAGCAAGTTGTGCTGGTTCTTTCGTGGATGTCTCCTAAGACCATCTAAGGACAGAACTTGGCAGATTTTCTCAGCAAGCACGTCATTTACTGGGATCCTGGTTGGTTCTGAGAGCGAGCCTCCTGTCGGGAGCCTTGGCACCTGCGGCTGGACTTCCAGATACAAACTACCTTCCTGCACCTCATCGGGAGGTGACCCTCACCTCATCCTTCCCCACAGTGGATGCCCAGGACCCTGAGTCCAGCTTGGATGTTTGCTGTGTGGCACCTATGTGCTATTCATCCTCTTCCCTGGGAACATATCTCTTGTCTTCACACCAATTTTGGGACCTATGTCTTTCCAAGCCCACTTCCCTGACATCACTCCTATAGTACTTTGAGGCTTTGCTTGATTTTATGGATTTCTCTGTAAGTAGGTTCACCCTGCCCCTACCCCAAGCCCCAATCTGGACAGTAAGTGAGGCTTTCCCTCTGTACCTTGTTACCCTTTGTTCCCGAGGGGCCAGGATGTCCCGTTCTTCCCAACAAGCCCTGTAAAACACAAAACTAAGTTTGTCACAGAAACAACAACCAAACGGCCAAGGGTATTGGACGTTGGTTGCTCAAACTGATACACTTTGAAGGTCATTTGATCCTAATTAAAATCAGTCCTATAAGCTTATATTTCTTCAGGCTGATACAGCAGCTGTATCCTGCTAATAAGCCCTTGGAAGGATAAAATTTGTATTTGTGGTCGCTTTTTCACCTTGGCCAACCACACTTAATGGCCTTAATTGGAACCTCTTAATACATTTAAGAATTTAGCCTTGCTGTTTAAATGGCAATTTACATAGCATTATGCCTTCCTAAATGAGCTATAATTTTGGTGGTGATCACCATTTTAAATACTTCACAGAGCAGAATTAACAAGGCGAGTTATGCGATCTGCATTTTACCAATGGAAAATAAAATTTAGTTTAAAATCTTCGTTGAGCATAGAGTTAGCTATCATTTCCATGGCTCCTTTCACAACTCTTTCTCTTAACTTTTAATTTTAGTGTACAATTTAGAGCCAGGTTTGTTCTATATAACTGTGGTGAAAGCATAAAAGGTAACATTTTCATTATGGCAAACCCATGATTCAAAACATGAAAGAACACGATTACATTCCTACATACCATTTGCCTAGGCACTCTAAGAAGGAAAGAGTTGGAAAAATTGAGGCTTGAGGAGGGTTGCTAGACTTAGCAAATAACAATACAATATTTGGGACAAACATGCTATGAAAGTATTTATTTACATGAAATTCAAATTGAGCCTCATGTCCTGTACTTTAACTGGCAACCCTAGATTTGAGCTCTGCTTTCATGATAGACTGGGTTTAGCAGGTGGGAAAGGAAAAAAAGATTGTTTTAAGCAAACAGGGTAACTGAAGACAAAAAGGCCCTGATGCTGCGTTTGAGAGAGACAGCGGAAAAAAGTGCCGACTAAAGTAGAGCGTATTTTAAGTCAGAAACAGGAATAAAAGTAAATTGAATCTGATAATCCTTGACCCGTTTTTTTTTTTTTTTCTGTCTAGAGAATAAATTCTTAGTTTATGGCGCTTAAAAATGTAAGGGTGTAACCATCTGAATATCTGTCCCTAAGGTTGATGCCAGAAAAATTATAGCTAAAAAAGATAACGCTCCTCTACAACCAACGTCTATTCAAATAGACTTGCTTCATCACAGTCTGCTTTCTGGTCTGGTAGAATTTTCATGACAAGTTTCCACAACCCCAAGCAGCCTTAAGGAATACTAACAAAAATCTGAGATGTTGGATGCTACTTTCCCCAGCAATAGCTGCATGCTCCACACAGAGGAACAGAGAACAAAAATCAATAAAGAATGTTAGTTCACTTTGCATCATACCAGCAGATATGGACTCTGAGTGAGACCATTTTAGCAAATACTTACAGGGGGTCCAGTCGGGCCAGGAGCACCTGGAAGGCCCGGAACGCCTTGAAGACCCTAAAAGAGATAGTTCCTACCATAAAATCTGTTATATCGTTGGAAACAAAGCATTTTAGTTCATAAAATTTTTTTTTTTTTGCGGTACGCGGGCCTCTCACTGCTGTGGCCTCTTCCGTTGCGGAGCACAGGCTCCGGATGCGCAGGCTCAGCGGCCATGGCTCACGGGCCCAGCCGCTCCGCG